AGTTTAATTGTAAAAGCAAATACATACAGCTGAGACCATCTTCTGGCCCAAATAATATATAATTCGGTGTGATTGTGGTCTAGCGCCACACCCCTAATATAATGATTTTTGCCTCTCTAGTTGACTTCTTCTTTATATGCCCAATATATTATATTAACATCTCAGTTGCATAAGCCTACTAGATTATAATTACCAGTATACATGCTCTGACTCTTATAAAAGGATTTTACTTTTGGGTATTTGGCAGGATTGCTCAAATTTATGCAAGAGTTCGTAAAATTATAAATTAGTAGATTTAAGCTAAATTTTACGTTCGTCGGAAAATTACTAAATTCCTCTGCGTGATAAGTTATATTTTTGTATATGGTTTCCTAACCGGTGTAAACGATGGATGTAGACAATAAAGATGTAAATGAAAACAAAATCGAATCGACGATAAATTGCCAGAATTAACCAAACATCGAAATTCGTAGTTGCCATGTCAGAAGTGGGGTTGTCAAATAAATTCCCAAGGAGATAATTGTTTTAAAATGGCAAAGTTTAACGATATGAAGATTCCACAACTAAAAAAGGAGGATTAAAGTCCGAATTACAATCGCGGGTACGAGAGGCGATAGAAGCAGAAAATATTGATGTTGAATATAAATTTCAATTGGAATTAGAGGAAGAGACTCAATGCTCGCCAAATATTATGGACATGAATATGATTTGTGCTGCAATGTCGCAGATGTCAACGCAAATATCGACACAAAGGAGAGAGTAGTCGACATAGTTGAAAGAACGGGAGGTAGGTATATAGCAGAGATGTCAACACAAATGATTGCACAACAATCGCATTTGTACTCGCAGTTAGAAAAATATATTAATGCAGAAAGAACAGTCGAGAGTGTCAATGTTCTTACAGTCAGAAGAACAAGAAGCTTGTATACCAGTACAAGGGTCCTAACAGTTGGAAAAGCAGGATAAAATAAACGCTGAAATGGATGAGTATTTGCAAGAAAATCCAGAATTGCGAGGTGTAATGCATGAAGTGGAGTTGAACAAATGTACAACGAGTGAAGAAATAGGCGCAAAAAGCCCAGTCACAAAGGCAAATTGGACAGAGCGGAGCAGTTTAAAATTGGTGTGTGCCTGCTTGCATCGAGTATGGAAAAGCGAAGATGGGCAAGGCTCCCGAGCACTTATGATTGTTTCGAAGGTTAGAATTCTTGAAGTTGATGTTTGCACTCACGCTTGCAAAATCAAACTAATATAAGAATATAAGAATTCAATACTTTGATACAGTCACAAGTCTCCAAAATATTTTTAATATTTACTTGTTTGAGTTGCTTACAAAATATAAAAACCGACAATCGACTAATATCTGTGATGACCTCTATAAGAGAAGTGTCAGGATATTCAAAATGGAAAACCAGAATTCTTATTAGTTTTTTGACCTGCTTACTATTACCTGAAAATTTGAGGCATTATCTTGGGATTAAAGGCTAGAGACTGTATCGTGAATAGTAACTTGTCACAAATTGAGACCTTACTTCAAAATGTCTCAAATAGTGACTACAGAGTGCTTACTGAATTGGGTTATAATAATTATCTAGTACTTACTACGAAAATTACTGTTAATATAAAAAAATTAATTAAAGTATCGGTAAATGTATAGTTTAGGTCCCCCAACTAAGGGGGCCTCATAAATGAAATTTTTTTTTATCGTCTTATTTTTACGCGATGATTACAAATCCGTGAGCGGAAAGTGAATTTGTTCATTAATTTATGTATACAAGTATACTTACAAATATATTTAAAATAATTTTAAAAAAATTGAATTGAAAAAATTAACTTTCCGCTCACGGATTTGTAATATTCGCGTCAAAATAACACGATTTAAAAAAAAAAATTCATCTTTGAGGCCTCCTTAGTTGGATCCAAGTATCCAAAGTATCTTATCAAATATGCTGTGTTATTAACTTTTGACTTACAATGGCTTTCCGCTCTGGCGAACTAACGAAATTAATATAAATTGAACAAAAAAATTAAGCATCGTAGTTTGTAAGTTAATGTAAATGTTGTTATGAAAGGTACGTTGAATGAAATAAGCTGTGAGCTACTGTGCAGATTTATTCAGCAACTACATACGTATATATTATAATACTCGTAATTGTAGTTCATTTATCACGTTAGATTGTGAGCTGTCCTTGATTTACACCTTAAATAAGCTCACACTTTACCCTTCCTTAAACTAGGGTTGTCCAAGCAAATAATATTTTGGTTTGGCTATATGGTTTACGTAAAAATACAAAATTTAGGAAAACTATAAATATACAACAAACAAGGGTAAAAAAGCGAGTGTAACGGTAATTTTAAAAATTGTTGTTTGGTTTTTTCTGCACAATTCGAATTTTATAGTATATTGCGATATTACACGCTCAACGACGACTTAAGCTTGCATACTGTATAAAGAAGTTACGTGACCGAAATCGATTTCAGAATGAAACACGAAAAAACGTTAACTTCGGCTGCACCGTAGCTATAATACCCTTTACAGATGCACTTAAGATAGCATAGAGAAGTATAAAAATATCTTGATTTTTATCGGACAGTTTGTATTATAGCTATATGTTATAGTGGTCTGATCTTAACGATTGTCTTAGACAGTTATATGTTATGCTATAGTGAGCCGAGCTGAATAATTTCTTCTCAGATTGCATAGTTATCTTAGACAATAATACATGCCAAATTTCGTGAAGATATCTCGTGAAATTAAACTGTTTACCATGCAAACGCTTGATTCCGATCGTTCACTTTGTATAACAGCTATAGGCTATAGTGATCCCATCTAAACAATTTCTTCGCATATTGCATAATTTCCTTAGATAATAATCCATGCCAAATTCCGGTTCCGACAAATGAGGAACGTCTTAGTGAGAAAAGGAGTGTGCAAAATTTCAGGTCGAAATTTTAAAAATTGAGTTACATATATACAGACGGACACACCTAATATACCCTTTTCAGGGTATGAAAAGGTAACTAACAATTGTCAAGTTGTTACCCAATGTGTGGCCATTCAAAAAGTTTTTTGAATTCCATTATTCTTTCAAATATACCATTACATCTTTTTTCTGTGGTGGAGAACGTAAATTGGGCCAGCACCGAAAATCTCTATCTGCATAATTTATGCTGCTAATACAGCGTCTAACAATAAGGATGACATGATTTATACACCTCCAGGTGGCGATGTTCATTTACGGATTTGTGTTAGTGTTTTCAGTTTGCCATTTCATTATGTAACGTTTTACTTTGGTACAACACTTGGAAATTACTCCAGATTATAACGCAAAATTGCGGATTGTATGGCTGCTTCATCGGGCCTTATTTATTCGAAATGAGGCACGAAATGCCGTTACCAAACGATGTTCACCGACTTTTTCCCAGGAATTTGATGAAGTCGACCCGGACGATCTCTATTTCCAACAAGACGGGGCGCTGTCTCTTACCGCATTCAACCAGCAACCCTAGAGGAGCTCGTAGACAACATTCAGCGTGGCCGACATTTTGTTTAAATCATAAATGGCATAAAATTTCTGCATAACAAAAAAGAAAACAGTACCCAATTTGACCAAATTTCAGTGTATTGTTTTATTTTAACATCGCGTCGTTCTTGTTGGTGACCCCTAAAACAGAAGTATTGGCTTTATAAATTTATAAATTTTTATTTATGTAATCAGTAAATTAATTTTCACTTCACTCACCGTTAGCAGATAATAATTAAAAAGGAAAGAGAGTCGATTTCGGCGGGTGCTCACAGAACTGATCGCTAGCGAGTCGATGAAAAAAGGGAAGCGGGATCCTTCTTTTGGTCCCTTATATATCTGTTGATGTCTTCATGGTGGTGTGATGCCGGTGTTAAGTTGTATTTGTGTGCGTGTTGGTGCATGGTGTAGTGATGTGGAATGTATGGTATGTAGGTGTGGAATGTATGGTAAGTAGGTGTGGTGATGTGGATGTGAGTTGGTGTAGTGTGACAGTGTCTTACGGTGAGGGGGGATTGAGTGGTCATTTAGCCAATTTTTTTTCGATGCCACCGAATCAAAACTAAAACATGGATTGATTTATTCACACGAATATTTTTTGAATAAGATATTCATTGACATACACATAGCCAATAAAGTCTGCGTTCACCTGACACATTTTTTTAAGTGAAGTAAAAACACAATGTAAATAGGTGATTTATGTCAAATTTTTTACATGTATTTCTTCTTTATATTCTTAAGTTCAAAATGCAAAAACAAAAATTAATATTCCTATTTTCATTTTTGCGATAACGGGATTTCAGTGTAAGTACAAGTAAACATAGGCGCCATTAAATCTGCGTTCATTTAGCATGAATTGGAAATACCGTTACTTCTCATGAATTTTTCCTTCTTTTTGCGTAGATTCTATTGTGTTTTAATATAATAAGTCGTTTAAAGAGCTCGCGACGCGTTTTAATAATATTTAAAAAAATGGAAACCAAAGCAAAAGAAATTAGTCTGTCTGAAAGAAAAATTATCGTTAAGTTGTGAAAAGATGGCGAAAGTTTCAGAAAAATTGGGCAAACTATTGGAAGAGCGTATTCTTCTGTCCAGCGTGTCGTAAACAATTAAAAAAAACGGAATTTTAACGTCAAACCCGCGATCTGGACGTCCGAAAATATTATCAGCCCGGGAAGAACGGAAAATAATAACTATGGTGAAAGTTAACCCTCGAATTACGTCCACAAAGATTATTGAAAACGTAAATATAACCATTAAAAAAACAATTTGTGCCGAAACTGCTAGAAAAATTTTACGAAAAGCTGGATATCATGGTAGAGTCGCTCAAAAGAAACCATATATTTCACTGTGTCGGGTCAACGCAGACTTTATTATATATGTGTATGCGTTTTGTATCTGTTACTTTTTTCAAAGTAATACATTAGTATATATATTAATATATATTCAATGAATAGAAAGTTTTTTTTTCATTAGGGTTACCTTTTACGCACTTGGCAAGTCCAATGCCAGCATCTTACCGCAAGAAAAAACCAATGCCTCGTGGTGTAGCGAACCGTCGGGCAGCATTACAATGGTTACGACAGCGAAATATCACAAACGGAATTCTCTACTTTGGCGATGATGACAATACATATGATTTAAGGCTATTCTCTGAAATAAGAGATACACAACGAGTTTCTATGTTTCCTGTGGGACTAATTGAAGAGTACTCCGTAAGTGGACCAGTTGTACGGAAGGTGAGCTTTAAATATATTTTTTCTTTAATTATTAAAAACTATATTCGATAGGGAAAGGTAGTTGGATTTCTAGATTCTTGGGTAGCAGAAAGGCGTTGGCCAGTGGATATGGCAGGATTTGCAACGAATTTGGCATATATGGCTGAGTATCCAAATGCTAGTATGCCTTATAAACCGGGCTATGAAGAAGACCTTTTTCTACGCAGTATCCGGTTAAATTTAAATATAATTGAACCTAAAGCTAATAACTGCACAGAAATACTAGTTTGGCATACACAAACGAAGAATCGTGAGCGAACTACTCTACGTATTAACAACAAATATCTCGACGATCGGTCGAATCTTGGTATACTCATAAGATCATTGGATGCAATGGGGATCGCGAACTCTTCAGATAACGATGGTATATATACACAGCCATAGTTAATAATAATAGTTGTAATTTATAAATATATTTCTTACAGGACGAAGGGCTGTTATAAGTAAAAATGGAAAAGCTAAACCATTAAGCTATTTTTTAAGCTAAAACTACTAAAATTTTTTTTACCATATTAAAGAATAAAACCTATTATTTCTATCGAGGGCGGTAAACTTATTTTAACGATCTTTCAACATTCCCATCTGATTTATGTTACGATTTGCAATCTCTTGTGGTCTAAAAATTGGAAAAGTCCCTGGGTCAGCTTGTCATAGTTTTTAGTGATTTGTTACATTATTTTGATATATCTATCAATCAATCTTTTAAAAACGCTAAATAATATAGTCAGTGAATATTATTCCATGCGATCTCAAAATGCATACGTCATGACTTTACCAGTTAATCGTTGTATATTGCAACTTAATTTTACGTTCATTCAAAATCTATTTATGAACAGCCTCTGTACGTAATAAAACTTGCTGTCATTACTTCGATGCACATATGGCCTGAAAAAAGGCAGAACTCGCATAACCCTCATAGATACAGTGATTCCTTAATACACAATATGCCTACTTCGTCTTTCAAATGCTCAATCTTGTATCAGTCAAAATGATATACCTCAAGAATCAATTACCCGGATTTTGTGAAATGTAACTACAAAAAATCTACAATCCAAAGAAGTGTCACTTTTGCATAGAAAGCTGTGAACTTTTTAGCTTGCGTGGTGATTTTTCGTGTAAAAGGGTTAATGAGATTAAATTTTCAATAAACTTTTAAAAATATTTAATATATTGCCATAATGCATTTTAAGTTTGTTATATTACCATGTAACCAGGTCTCATAAAAATTCTTTTATGAAAATTTTTTTGCTTGTCATATTTCCGTAAAAACAAGATCTTAACTTATTCTAAAAGTTTTATCAATTGCTAATTTTTATCGTAATACCACCAAATTGGAAAATAAGTTGCAACTCCACTGTTAAGCAACATTGCGTCTATATCGATTCTCACGCAAACACTTTGTATTAATTGTTTTCATTTTACCAGAGCACAAAAACTAAGAAAATAAAAAATAAGATGAAAGAACATAAAAAATCTCGTGTAGTAGAAAGTAGAAAGGTCAAATATCCATCAGTTTTCAGCTTAATGCTCTTCTGTCAGTATCATAATTTTTCTGTAATTTCAACATGAAAAAAAATAAACATCAAAATAACCAAAAAATGCAAAAAACCAAAAAAAAAAAAATATAAAAAAATTTGTTGCAAGGGCCTTTTCTTGAAATCAATATTTTATATTGCTTGGTCCTTGTTAATGCCCAAAGAAATAGTGTAAAATATTTCTTTATCCTTTTCAGGTAATAAAATATTTTAAGATTGTCATAAGCAATTTGGCTTCATTTTCCTGGTTTATATGATGAGTGTCAAACTCAAAGAAACCCATATGTTTGTCACTATGCTGGTACGTGGTTTCCTAAACTTTATTGTAGTAAATATTGTTATACGGAACCATACACTAGATAGAAAAAGTATCCGCTCACTGGGTACAAAATCTTTTAAACTAAAATAAAAGTTTGACCAATTAAGAGATTAAAAAAAAATTTCTTTGTGTTATTAAATCATATATTTTCATTAAAAATATTTACTTTTTTTTCAAATAATTCAAGAAGCAAAAGCCACAGAGTTCTTTGTAATTTTAAAAACAATTAATTTAAACGGAAAAAGTCTCGGCTCATCAAACAGAACACAATAATATCAAGTAAATATAAAAAGTTTAATAGCTCGTGGGGTAGCCTCGAAATTTTAGAACTTCTGCTAGACGTTTAGGCATGGAATGTACTAATTTCTTCATATCTTCAGTCGACATTTTACTCCATTCGTCCAATATAACGGTTTTGAGCATTTCTTTGCTGGTAATCGTATGTGTACGAATTCTGCGCTCCAACAGAGCCCATAAATGCTCAATTGGATTGAGGTCAGGTGATTGTGGAGGTGAATGTAGCTGTTTTGGAGCGTTGTAAAGAAGCCAAAGGCGAACAAGTTCCGCTGTATGCTTAGGGTCATTGTCCTGTTGGAAACAAAACACGTTTGGCAATCCTAATTTGTCACCACTTTGCTTCATTTGTCGTTTTGAAATATTTAGATAATCAAAATTATTCATTATACAAAGATATAGACTTGGTTATATGTTCATTTGCGAATGCAATGCGCTTCATACGATTTTTAAAGGAAATTAATGGCTTTAGGCGTGCCACTCGCCCATTATGACCAGCACTTTTTAATATTTTTTGCTGTGTCGCTGCATTTTGATTGTATTTTACATCTTCTGCTATTTGGGAAGCGGATTAACCTTTACACGAGATACAACTTTGCGTGTTTCCCGATCAGTCAATATTCTCGAACGTCCAGATCGGAGGCTTTGAAGTAATAATTCCCGTTGTTTAGATGACGTATAACACTGATGACTACGTTCCGTTAACAACTCGTCCAATTTCACGAAAGCTTTTACCGCCCTCCCTTAATTTTAAAATTATTTTCCGCTCATCAACACTTATTTCTTTGCCTTTTGCACACATTTCGAGTAAAGCTGAATAATTCGAAAAATTTTCCTTTGATTATCTTAATCTGTATTATTGACAATAACGTAAAAAAAATTAACAAGTCTTAAACGCGTAGAAACTACAATAAACTAATGTAATAAGCAGTGAGCGGATATTTTTTCTACCTTTTCTGTAATAGTAGAATTCAAAAAATGCCGTGTCTTTAGCATATCTTGTTAGTTGCTGTCAAATAAGTTACTAAAATAATTTTGTGAACCTAGAGGAAAACATTGCACTATTTTATATCGTAATGAAAAAAGAGGGGGAAAAGAGGTAATACATCAATAATGGTAATATAAATGAATAATCAGCAAGTGCTTATTTTATAGATATACTCTCAGGCGCTATTTGGGTTTAGAAAACCCGTTTTTGTACGTTTGAGGAAAACACGTTTAGAAAGTTAAAACGTCATGACGAACAAATACCCACCATTGCGTTTGAGCTTAGAGTTAGTTAGACATCCATACGTTTACATAAAAAGATCTGCGTTACAGTAAGTATTTATTTTTAAGTTATTCAGTTCGTTTATATATTTCCTTTACAATTGCTCATATCAAAGTTGTGTCGGAAATGGGTATTTTTCGGTTTTGAGCCAAGTACAAAAATCGAAAGGACAATATCGGTAGGTAAGCTTCCCGAAATCGACGCAGGAATACAACCTGGTCAAAGTGGGGTAAATTCAGTCTACAAGAAGTTCCAAAGAAAATGTATTCAAATTAGGTGTTTTTATAGTTTTCATCCCGAATTTGAAATTATAGCTGTCATTGATTGCACACACTGGTTTAAAGCGCAGTCACCGACATTCCTCCCTTCCGTACTTACCGCCCCTATCAAACCACATTTGTCAAAAGTTATGCCCGTGGTTGCAACGCAGAAATCAGTTGTTCTCTTTTTTTTCATTTCATTTCATTTCTATTTGTATATTGTACGATTTTTCAAACATTTAGTTTTTCAGTTATAATTTTTCATAATGTAAAAGCTCAAAACTAAAATCCTACTATTAAAAATATTTTACCTATTTGTAAATAAGTGTATTCGACTGTGATTTTGAGTTATTTTAAGAATATTTCAAATATATTCAAGTTAATTTTTTAATTACTAAGATCCAATTTTCGCGGATATCCTACCTTATGGTCTGTTGAAGCGGACGGTAGAAGCGGTGGTGACTGATCATTTACATTGCGCTCTCATAAGAAAGGTTGTATCAGCTGATTCGGTCCACGGTTTTGCGTCGGTGACTATTTGTGCCATTAGTAACTCACGATTACATTAATCGGAAAGCATACTATAGCATCAACCTTGAAGCTGTATGTTAAAATATAATTAATGCGTAAACCTCTACTCATATTGTGACAAATTTTATTTAATAGATTTGTGATGATGACCTTAAGTTTCGTTAGTGCACTTTTACACAGGGACTCAAAAGAGTCTCAAACCAGTTTATTGTGGGCGAGGGGACGACGAGGAAAGACGAAGGTACCGTGCCACTCGTGTTCGGGTGGCACGCTTTGTATTCTTGTTCGTAACAGCTCGCTGCTACCCTTTTCAGCATTCCTTTTCACTTTCAAATTCTTTGAATAGTTGCAAGAGCGCTCGGTTTCAAATGAATTCGATCGCAAATTTGAGTTCTGTTATCTATTTTTGTATGTAATATGCAAATATGTATGCATAGAATAATAGAAATATTATGACAAATTGTAAATAAGGAGAAAATTAAGATATAGATTATGGAGTAAAGAAATTATGAATTTTTAATACGGAGTAAAGAAATTATGAGTTTTTAGTACTTAAAGATTAGGAAATTCCTATTATAAATTTGGCCTTGAAAATATTAGTAGCGGATATTCAATACATTCTTGTGGATTAGGGAATTCCCGTCTTTAGTATTTCTTTGAAACTATTTAGCGGGTAGGTACTTGTATTATGCATATTGTTCTACCATATTCATGGTAATTCATTGCAAGCAAAATGTGTGACCATCATCTTAACATACAAATGAAATACGCAGCACGCAGTGTTGCGCAGTCGAACCGCACAAATATTTGTGAAAAGGAATGCAGAAAAACTAGACTCGAGTTGCTTTACTCTTTTTGACCGTGTGAATGCACAGAGCGACACCAAAAGAAAATTTGAAAAAAATGAGACTCTTTTGAGACCCTGTCTAAAAGTGCACTTACATAAATTCTCGTCTTCCTGGATCATGCCACGATGCTGGCATATATACTACTTCCACCGTAATTATTAAACTCATAACGGAGTATACAGCTAGAGCTTTCAAGCTTTAAGGCCCACTGTAGCCGTTGTTGTTGACACCAGTTTCTAATCCTGCATTCAGAAGGGAAGAAATTTAATAGAAATAGCATTTAGCATATTAAAATCACGCTTCGCTGTTTATCAAAAGAACGCGCACTTCGCTATGTGATATTTAAGTTATAATAAGAGTTATCATTTGACGAAGTGCATCCAGATACAATATTTGATTCAGTGCAGTATTACTGGGAAGAAAAAAAGGTACGTCAGACTTGTATAAATTCATTGGTTTATTTTAAACATAAAATACACAAAACCAAAAAATTCAGGCATGGTCCAGGAACCGAATGAAATTGATGTAATCTCGTTTCTACAAACCGAATGATTTCAATTAACGTGTTCTGCAAACCGAGTAATTTCATTTATTTCGAAGTCCTTATATTTCACATCGAAACAGCTGTTTGAAGCAAATTACATTTATATTTAATTGATATGTAAATATTTTATTTTTCAAAAATTTAAATTTTCCCGAATTACCAGCGTGCTGCTGTGCGAGTTTTTCAAATTTTTGACATCGCATTGCAGAAGGTTAGAACAAGGCTTTTCAAATCCGTTTCAAGTTGCTGATGTACTCTTTAAATACTTTTATTGACTATTATAACTTTGTAGTTAATTTCGAAGCACAATTCCACTTTATCAGCAACAGGGAGCCAATGGTCATGGGAAAGATACAGATGTTTCATAATGAAGAAGCATCGAATGGAAAGTACATAGTTGACTAATAGTGCGGACTTTGTATTGGGAAGGATGGCAGGTCAGCTTATTACTGCAGTATTTCAGTTCCTTGGCCAACGTTTCAATCTGTATTATGTCTCCTTTCAAAATCCATTTGGGAAATCTTCATTATTTCCCATAAAATTGAGTAGACCTATCTTTTATTCGATATTTTTGTGTTTACT